AACTCCATGAGTTCAAGTCCCACCCTAGCCATGAAGGCCGGCAGGGTGACTTTGGGCCAGTCACTCTTTCTCAGCCCAACCATTTCAGGCTTATTGTTGTGGGGAAAATAGGAGGAGGATAGAGTGTTGAATATGTTTGCCACCTTGAATTATTTATAAAAATAATAAAGGTTGGATACAAACAAACAAACAAATAACCTACTCCCCTTGGTTTGACAGTCCATGAAATAATCTGGGAATACTAGAACACATTGACTCAAAATTCTGGAGGGCATTGAGTTGGGGAAGACTATGGTCAAGTCTAGAATAGGAAGGTCAGTATCTGAACTGTATTCTTAATTACTTAACCCTTATCTAAACTATGCATAAGCATCCCTTCTTTAAGAGGGCCATTCTTTATTTCACCCTACAGTGGACAAACATGATCACCAGATCATTGTGAAAATGAGGCATTCGCAACATTTAGTAGGATCAAACTCTTCACTTGATCTATCGTCAGTTATATGATACCTTTGCATCTAATTGGTTACAACTTTTCTGAAATAGATGTTAGTTCCCAATTCCATCAAGGAAGACAAAAGCAAGGGTCTCTACCCATCTCTACTGCCAATTCAAAGACAAGTTTAATCCTTTTAGCCCTCTGAGCTCTTGGAATATTTGGCAGGCAAAGTGTTACAAAGAAATATTCTTATTGGAAACTCTTTTATGGTCTTTGGCAAATAAAGCCCCATATCAGAAGTAAGATAATCTTCTCTGTCCTGAAAGCAAGGAACATTCTCCTGCAACATATAATGAAATGTTGGGAAGCTTCTCATACTCTTTATCAAACCAATTCCCAAATGAATTTTTCTTCACTTTTCATTTTGTGGTTATCTGTGCTGGGAGACACTTTGCATACTCCCATGTCTCCTCTTTTCCTTTGCTCCGCTTTTGCTATCTCCCGTCTTCTACACATTTCATTTTGTCTGACTGCTTGGGAGTGAAATTACTAGGGTCAAATGGATGGGCTAGAGCAGTGATGGCGAACCTATGGCACGGGTGCCAGAGGCGGCACCCAGAGCCCTTTCTGTGGGCTCGCCTGCTGCTGTCGCCACCAGCTCGCACAGGTCCATTAGGCCACCGCTGGCGCCCGGAGTGCCAACCCCATCCAGCACAAAGGAGGCGAAGCAGCTGGCTAGCAAGCTCGAGTAGAGGCGGTAGAGCGCACCCCCATGCGCTCGCTGGCCTCTGTGTGCAGGGGCTGGTGGTGTCAGGCAGCAGCCACCCCTGCCTCGCCTTGCCCCGCAGCAATGGCACCCCCGCCCTACCCCCTGCCTCACCCCACAGGATGCGCCACCCACCAGAGGCCCCTTGGATCTCCCCCAATCCTGCCCAGCCCCCACAGGAATCCCCCCACGAGCAACATCAAGGTGGCCACACCCACCCTGGCCATACCCACTCAGTCTGCCATGCCCACCGCAGCCGCGCCCGACCCCACCCCTGAGGACACAATGCTGACGCGGCCCTGGCACTTTGCGATACATAAGTGGGTTTTGGGTTGCGGTTTGGGCACTCGGTCTCTAAAAGGTTCTCCATCACTGGGCTAGAGGACATGCAGAACTTTTCAAACTTCACAATATTTTTTCTTAAAAGTCTTCCTGGTCTGTTAAAGCACAAGGGGGACACATTTTCACACAGTCTAGCAGTTTTGGTGGAAATAAAAATCTTCAAGCTTTCAAAGATGACTGAAGTGAAAGAAATATACTCATCTTGGAAATATTTATCTCTGACTGACAAAGGACAAAAGATCTCACAGAAATAAGAGATGACCAGATTACAGTTCACTTTTATTTATTTTGATCCTGCCTTTATTATATTTATAAATATCTCGAGGCGGCAAACCTACATAATGCTTTTTTCCTCCTCCTATTTACCCCACAACCACCCTTTGAGGGACTTGGGCTGGGAATTGTTGATATTTGTTTTATTAATAACCCTGGCATGAAATGAACAGTGCATGCTTACTCCAAAGATAATCTCACATTCTTAAGATGAGTTTACTGCCTGTTAAGTGAGCTCTGGCTGCATCTGAAGCTGGGTAATTAAAAGTTGCTTTGACATCATGTACCACTTTTATCCATGCCCTTCCCCACAACGCAAGAGTCGTAGCCTAGATTTTTTTTTTTCTGATTTAAATTTGTGCCTTGTTTTAGCCACCAAGGTCACCCAGCCGGCTTTCATGCCTAAGGCAGGACTGGAATTTACGGTCTCCTGGTTTCTCACCTGGTTTTTTAACCACTAGTCCAAACTGACTATAGTAATAAGCTACCACAAAGTTGTCATACTTACAGCAAAGATAATATCTTAGTGGCTGGGCTTAAACCAGTCTAGAGGAAGAGCACTAACTGATTAAAGGAAAGATATTGTCACAGTTGCTCTACATAGCAAACTTAGTTTGCAGTTGCTTAGACAGAGCAATAGATCCAGTTCCTGGATTCTTTTATGACTGGATGGGATGATTTACGGTCCTGAATATATTTTTAATTTGTGGAGAATATAATAATAAGAAATATAAATAATATCTTATTCTTGAGCTTTTTATTGAGATAGTAATATGATGATTTTCCTCATGGGGTCCATGCGCTGAGCAGATATGTATAACGGGACCATGAACAGAAGTTACGCTGAGAGAAAACCCCTGACAAAAGAGGGTTGCTGTCAGAACAGGAAAACAAATCTGGTTTCCCTGCATCCTTGCGGCAACACCAGGACTGTCGGCTCATAAAGATTTTTCCTCCTCCCAGCTGGGGAAGGATAATTGAAATGGAAAAATAGGAAGAGGAAAATGGCTAAGCAAGCTCATCCTTTATTTCTCTACTGAAAAATACATAATCTCAAAATGATCTTTTGTGGGAAAAGAAGGAGCAAGATATTTGAAGTTGGAGAGAGACAAGTGAACAGCACCCATTTCAACTGTAGTAGCTGGACATTCAGAGTATGAATGCAACTTTGATGTTGGTAAAGTTTAAACAATAGTGGAGCTGGAAGGAACTTAATGGCTCCTCTCTAAACACAAAGGTAACCAGCTATCAATCATCCAGAGTCATCCAATTTTTGTCTAAGGTTTAAGGTTTAACAGGTCTAACCAAATTTAAGAAGAGATTGGACAACCATTTGTCTGAAATAGTATAGGGTTTCCTGCCTGAGCAGGGGGTTGGACTAGATAACCTCCAAAGTCCAATATTCTATTCTATTCTATTCCATTCCATTCCATTCACTTTACCAAGTTTCAGTTCCATTTCATTTTGAGGTTTTTTCCAGTTACTATGACTAAACATTTGTTTTGCAAATACTTATTTTCTGAACGGGTACAAGTGGAACTTGCATTTAAAGTCCTAGCTATATAAGACCTGTGGTGTCCTTGGTTCTCCCTGAGCTTGATAGTTTTCTTGCACCGGGACCTTTTACCAGCACTAATGATGTTACCTAATTTGGCAATGAAAGGTCTGCAAGAAAACCTTCAAGCTCAGAGAGCACCAAAGACTCCACAGTTCAACCTTGAGCTAGAAATATTCTCTTCTATTGGTGCCACATAAGACTGTTTCGCTGTAGCTAGTATTGGATTTTTCACATTGTAACAGCCCAAACAAGAGGTACAGTTAGTTCAGCAAAATACACATTCACATTGGCCACAGTGGGTTCTGCCCAATCCTTCGCACACTTCAGTTACATATTTTTGGAGTGATGGGGACAGTGGCAGTCTGAGTGTTTTCCCCCCACGTAAGTAGATGCTTAATGCCAAAATAGTATGTGCTCATTTTGTGAGCCAGCTGATAGACTTTGGCATCTTCCACTGGTGGTGGAAAGGTGATATATGGAAGGGTGATTTCAAGCCATTTAAATATTAGAAAGTATGCTGGAAAGGAGGCTTTGCCACATAGCTCTTATTTTGAACCACACATTGTTGATACTGGAGTGATAGGAGCCAAAGCCCTTAATAATTGCATCCATTAGTTTGTTATTTTTCAGAGGAAAAAAATCCCGTTCTGGGACAAATAAAAGAGCAGAGAACATTGGGATATCTCAAAGTACCCAATGATGACAATCCAACCTTTTCAAAGTAACAGAAAAAAGGGGGCCAAGCAAATAAGAAAGTAACGTCATATTTCAAAAATCCTTTTGCTAAGAGATTATTACACAGTTAATTTTAGGCAAATGGGCAGCATGTTTAAATTATTAAACTTTTTACATATGGTTGTATTAGTGTTATTTAGTCTTTAGCCCTTCTCAATATTAGCCATTTTTAATATAAATAGTGCATTTTTGATTGGTGCACCTCCATGTCAAGCTACCAACTCCCCAGTCAATGATAGCCTGCACAACTCATTCACAAAATTCCTCTGCTTCCTTCATTTCTGAGCTAGCATTTAGAAATCAGCTGATTGATGGAGTAAAGTCAAAATGAGAGCGTGGAGCTCTTTCAATGAAAAGGATTATAGCACTTCCATCCTATTTGTAAAAGTAATTTCCCATTTTCTCACAGCAGTTGATATAAACATTATCTTTCATGTGCTCCCACTAAGATTAACAAAAAAAAAGTTGATGTGGCTAAGTATGCAAAAAATACCTGGCTTTTCTATGCCAATTATTCTGATTAATCTGTCTCCGGATTTCCAGCTTCCTAATAAAAGTATCCAAGTTCCCTATGTTATCACAGGACAATTATGGGCAGAGATACTTGGAAATTTATCCAAGGTCACATAAATAATATCTAAGATCTGAAATCACTTTTTAAATTTTACCAGTTCTATTGTCCTAGCCAATGAACCAATGAATCTTTTTTCATTTGAATAATGTTTTCTTTTCTTAATCTGCATATTCACTAAGGCTTTGTTGAATGCCACATTACAGATCAGCTCTACTGATAATAGTTCAGTTATATAGTTTAAAGAAATTACAGTGAGGCAAATTAGTGCACAGAGCTACATAGACAGGTATATATAAAAAAAGGAGAACTATACCTTCTTTCGGAGCATTTTCATCCCATGCAAGCCACATCTGCACAATAAAATAAGGAGTCCAGCACATAATGAAGGCTAAGACAATAATAAAGGTCATTTTGACTGTCCGTATCTTGGCTTTGGAAATGAGCTTGATGCTGCTCACCCTGGAGAGGGTGCCTCCGTGAGAATTACTAGAGGTTAGGCTCACACTTGTTTCATGGACAGTTTTTAGCTTCACATTTTGCCAAATTTTGAAGCTGATCAAGCCATAGCAGACACTTAGCACAATCACTGGGATGATGTACACAGTCAAGGTCATCCAGGTGACATAGGCTTTAGGACCCCAAGGCTGAATGAATGTCGCCCAGCAATCCATTCCTCCATGGGACACATTCTTCATAGAAAATATTTGGAGCTGTGGGATGCTGAAGAGGAGGCACACAATCCATGTGAGGAGCACAGACAACCGGTCAGATCTCTGATGTAAAGACCTCAAGGGTAGACAGATGGCCAGACACCGATCCAGTGACATCAACAAGAGCATGTAGGTGGAAGCAAACATCCCCACCACTTGCAGGTATTTGATCAACCTACAGAGATAATCTGGCCCTTTGAACCTGAAGGTGATGTCCCAAATGAGCTGAGGCAAGACCTGGAAGATGGCCACAACTAGGTCAGCAATGCTCAGATGCTTCATGAAGAAGTACATCCGGGAATGTTTGTGGCGGGTTGTGTAGATAGCCAGCAGCACACACAAGTTTCCCGTCAAGGCGAGGAAAAAGATGAGGCAGAGCACCGCAACCTCCACCTTGGCAATGTCCTCGTTCCGTTTTATGACTGAAGTTTGGTTGGCTTGTGAAGTAGGGTTTTCCAGGGTGGCATTGCTCAAGGAACAATTTGAACAATACCAAAGATCCATGGCTGATGGTTCCCACCCAGACTCTTTTCCAAGGCTGAACTGAGAAGAGAGAGACGCCTTCTCTGCAGTGCAGTGTGTCCTTTAGAGCCTCCCCTTTCTTGGGACCAGGCCTTCCAGTGCTGCTTTCCTTTTCCTGAAGGCCCCTTTTACTCCCATTTGGCCCTTTGCCTCTTTATTTATTTATTTACTTATTTACTTATTTTTAAGTCCCGTTGACTCCCTTTTCGCTTTGGATCCTTCGCCTGGACTTGTGCATGCAGTTGATGTATAGTTATGAGTTCTTTTCCACCCACAGGATAAATCCTGCTCTCTTTCTAAATTACTTCATTTGTTCCTCCTATAGCAAAAAAATAAAATAAAATAAGGGGGAAGAGAAAATAAATAAGGAATCACACCAACGTTGTGAGCCACACAGTCACATTTTGAATCCCTGACAACCTCAGCTTTCTACTCTCTCACAAGGCATTCATTCAAACTCAGGAGTGTAATTTCAATGGCTTGTTCCCGTTTGCTTCAAAACAACAATCAAGACTTGCTTATTAGTTCTCCGAGTCTTTTTTTTCTCTTTCAGCTGCAGTATTTATCCCAGTTCCTCCTTGCATACGGATGGCTCTGCATCAGTCTAAATATAGATGTAGGAAAGCCAGACTACCATTAAAACAAAACTCAAGGGATGACACAATTAACAAACACACAAGCATGCCTTGCCTAAAAGTGCCTTTCAGAGTTACAAAGAAATTCTTCTTACCTTTTAGCTCACTTTTTTTTTCTTTTAGCAACTCCTGAATCACAGAGCTCTCTCCCTTTCCCCCCCCTCCCCCTCTTTAGAGAGAAATATTAGAAGCTAGTCCTATCCAGCTGGGAAGGTCCAAGAATGTCAGGTGAGTTCTTTTGCCCTTGTGACACATTTAGCGGCTCCACAAGTTTGCTCTCGAATGAATGCAGGAGGACAGAGAGGAGGAGCAGGAGAAGAAGGAGGAGGAGCAGCTGAGCTTGCGGTCCGCTCTTCACAGTCATTCATGGATAAAATATACGGATTCTTGTATTGTTATAAAGCAGGGTTTCTTTTGGCCCTTAGGTGTCGCCCTAGGCCATTTCTTCAGTCTCATTCTCAGCAAACTATTAAAGATGAGAAGTGGGCTGAGGTCTCACTCAGCAGAGATTGGTTTTCCTGTCGCTTGTTGTGCATGGTTATGCACAGATGTGCCTGAAGATGGGCAAAGAAAATATAGGACCAAAGGACAGGAACAGTGTTCTTTTCTCCTTCTGCTTCTCCCTCTTCTTCCCTTTCTGGGATTTCATTTCTTGTTATCCTACAATTTAGGAAGCATTGCGTCCCTTCCCACCATACATTTTCAATGTGACAAGAGGCTTTTAAGCCTGAGGGGAATGTTAAAGATATTGACGCAGTAAGGTGAGAATTTTTAACAGGCAGAGCAAGATAGCTGGTTTGAAAGTCAGCCAAAGGTTTCTTTTCTAAAATTGTATTGCTATTGGGCTTGCGTTCTGATGTTTTTATATTTTTAGGATTTGCCACCCTACTAAATCAGGGTGACTGTTATGCACCTTGACCAGAAAATGGGGTTTGGGTGTCATTTTGCTAATCTGGTAGCAGACTAGTGGGAGAATAGATTTCCTATCAAGGGGGAGAAAGAATGGCTTCTTTTTAATTGCATTCATTTCAGGCAAGCCCCTTACATAAATCTAAGTTTTATTGTTGGGTTGACTAATTTGTTTTCATTGCCTCTTCCTCTGGAATTCAGTGAGGTAGAGCAAGTTATAAACATTTTAAATCACTGAATAAGGAAGCAGCTGTGCTGAAACGTGAATGAAGATTAGAGGTAAATGTCTCAACTGAGTCATTGTAGATCAATTTTCTCAGAGAAACAAAGGCTTACACCTCATTTCCAAGGTTGTTTTTTTTAACTGACCAGAAATTATTATTATTTTTTTTGAGATACTTTGTATATTTGTTATGCTGGCTGTATGAAGTATGGGGAAAGGATTTCCCTTGGTGAACAGTACATTTTTAGAGTAGCACTTTTCTACATTTGACAGAAGTCCTAAACTTGTGTTATCAATCTTCAGTCCCATATTTCAATAAATCTGGATGGCAATGTACGCAACAAAGAGTTTTGCAGCAGCAGCATGGCTACTTACTCATTTTATATACATACTTATATTTGTTGGAATTTCTATTTTACTTGTCCTCCAAGGTGGCTTACATGAGACCCCTGCTGTAGATACATTACAATGGACTACTGAAAAGCACTGTACATGAGGCTGCCTTTGAAGACCATTCAGAAGGTACAGCTGGTCCAGAATGCAGTAGCACAGTGATGGCGAACCTTTTAGAGACTGAGTGCCCAAACTGCAACCCAAAACCCACTTATGCATCGTCGAGTGCCGGGTGGGTGTGGCCCATTGGCTGGGTGTGGCCCATTGGGTGGGCGTGGCTGCGATGGTAACAGCAGACTGGGTGGGACTAAAAAGTTCAACCAATTCCAACTTTGCAAGATCTTTTTATTTCCCGCGAGAAGTTGAAATTGACTGATTGAACCTTTCTCTTTTTTTGTAAACGGCGGCGGAGACCTAAAGTGAAAAGGTTTTATAAAACCCCGCTGAAGGCCTAGGACTGGGGCAACGGCACACGTGGGCTCTGAGTGCCACCTCTGGCACCCGTGCCATAGGTTCGCCACCACTGCAGTAGCACATATATGTCACCATTGCTTTGTGAGTTCCACTGGTTGCTTCTGGGTATAATTCAAGATATTGGTGACTATAAAATAACTATTGGTGACTATTTATCTACCTCTATAGTTACTGCCTACCGTATAAGTTCAGGCAGAGCAGGTGTGCTCTAGCCCCTTCAATTAAATAATGTTATTTATTAGGACCTAGGAAATAGGTCTTCTCTGGGTCCCACCCTGCAATTGTTCTCAAGGTTGGCTGTTAAGTCCTGTATTTTTGGAGTATCAGTACTTTTTTTTGTATGTGTGGTTCTATGGACATACATTTTCTTTCTCATTCCCTTGCAACCTACATTTAAAATGTAACCCCTTCCTTTCTAGAATCATTTGGGAGTTAAGCAGCCTTTAAATCCAAATAAATATTTAGTTTATTCCCACAACACGATGTAGCAGAGAGGGCTAAGAGAGAATGCCTGGCTCAAAATCATTCAGGGAATTTCTGTGGCTGAGGATGGGCTTGAAGTTGGACCTAGTCCAAAGCTTTAACCACCATATGGATTTTGTTCTTTATAAAATGCCCTAAAATTGTTTGCCAAGGAACAATATTTATGTATTAGCACTTATTATGTAATTTTTACTGAATTTAATCTTTTCCTAGTAGAAAGCCTCACAAACACAACACACACCCCTGACGTTTGCTTCTCTACTTGCCGTAGAAGATATTGATTTCTGTCCTTTTTCAATTCACTGACTATTATCCCTTTTCACTGCAACGGATTTCAACTTAATTCATGACTTATTATTGCTGAGAGACATAAAAACTCACAAACTGCAATACACTGAAAAGCTAATCAGCTGTAATGTCAAATATCTTAGCGCTTTTAACTTTAACTTTTTTAAAAGCTTTGAAGTATTTAAAAAACAGTGCTGGGATTGAATCTGTGCCCGAAGGATCTCAGATACATATGGAGCACTCTATCTTTTTCTGAGTCATACCCATTATTTAAAAATGTCTGTGGAGATTCTCAGTCATCCAGGTCATGGTTGTCCCAAAGGTGCTTTTTCAGGAGGCAATTGGACTTTCTTGTTTTTCTTTGAAGACATTTCACTTCTCATCCAAGAAGCTTCTTCAGCTCTGACCGGATATTGGGGAATGGAAGGATTTATATTCCTTGCAGTCAGCTGGTCATTTTAATTCTTTTAGAGAGTCTTTGGGGCCATGTGGAGGTTTTCTGTGTCCTCAGGGTCACCTGAGTAGTGCAGATGGGTATGGAGCCTTCTTGGCTGCAGGATGTTTTCTGCCCTTTTCCTGTAGTCTGCAATGTTTTCTGGAAATCCAATCATATTCCCGCACCATTTGAAGGAGTTCATCCCAAAGTGCCTACCATGTTTTCCTGAAAATAAGACCCACCCTGAAAATAAGCCCTACCCTGATTTTTTGGAGTGGGCCTAATATAAACCCTATCCCCAAAATAAGCCCAGGGGGATGGGTGTAGCCAACATAAGAAGCGGCAAACATGTGGGGGCTGATGGTGTCTGGCAGCAGCCGCAGCCCGCCAGCCCCTTGGTGAAGCACAGGTAAGTCCAAGTATGGAGGCAGAGCTGGGGGGGGAGGCAGGCGATCTGGACATGCTACATGGCTGCCTGGCTCACAGGAGGCTTGCAGGAGGCTTGTGCAGTGGCACCAGCATCAGGGGGAGGCAGAGTCATGGGAAGGAGGCAGGCAATCCCAGTGCAGCTGCGGGCAAACCAAGAGATGGTGGGATGGAGTGTGTGGCATGTCGGGATCACCTGCCTCCCCCCCTCTTGCCTCTGCCTCCACTTGCTGCCAGTGCTGTCACACCAGCCTCCTGCAAGTCAGGTGGCTGCACAGCATGTCTGGATCATTTGCCTCCTCCCCCCACCCATGCCTCTGCCTCCGCCTGGCTCCACCATACACTTTTTGCCCAGAGGAAGACTGGGAGCTTTGTCTACTTTCAAAGGGGGTGCTTTGAAACAGAGCGATTAGCCCCATTTCAAAACACCCCATTTGCAAACAGATGAAGCTTCCAGTCTCCCTCTGGGCAAAATGTGTTTGGGCACCGATGGGGCACTTGGGAACAGAGCAAATCACTCCATTTCCAAGTGCCTCATAGGCTCCCAAACACTTTTCACCTGGACAGAGAAATGACGGAGACTGGAAACTTCGTCTGCTTGCAAATGGGGCACTTTGAAACAGAGTGATTAACTCTGTTACAAAGCGCCCCATTTGCAAGTAGATGAAGCTTCCAGTCTCCGTCATTTCTCCGTCTGGGTGAAAAGTGTGACTGC